TATGGTAAGCTTGAGACAGAGAAATGAGAATTGCCACTGTATGAACATCCAAAGCCCACCATCCCAAGATCGACAAAACCGAACGATTGCAAGGCACGCGTGAATAGAGAGAGAGAGAGAGAGAGAGACGCGTACTGTCGCGGCACACAGCTATAGACTGGAATATGAACGTGCCAACCGGCCGAGCTGTGTAAGGTGCCGGCACGAGGAAATCAGCGGGCAAAATCTCCACAAACGATGGAGGTAGCCACCTGTTTGGTCAAAGCATGGCCGAACATCTTTTGTGGCAATGATGGTTTGAGTGACTTGCACATGGCGTGATCGTTGCGAAATTCTCGACCATATAGAACAATCTGTCAAGATGTTCGTGTGGAGCAGCACCCTATTCACGTTGCCGTGGCAGGGTTGAGGGTTGACGGCTTCGACTCTCGCAACTCGAACGAAGGTCTACGGCAAGTTGACTTACGGCAGCAAACCTGGGTTCGGGCTCAACACATCCCAACACAATCCCGAGGATGCATAGCGCAAACTTCTGTTTGAACTGCTGTGAGTGTTGTGTAGAGGTAGCGGCTTTGGGCTATCATCGCTGAAAGATTGAAGGCAAACATCCGGAGGAACATCGCAGCCGGGGTCCGCACACCACTTCCTGCACATGCGATGTGGCGAGGGAAGCTTAGTGATGGGGGGAGGGAGGGGAAGCCCTCTGGTTCCGGGGAGAGGAAGCCCTATAGTTCCTTCTGAGGAATCCTTGCAGGAGCCCTCCTAGTACGCTTTCAGGAATCCTTGTAGGAACCCTAATAACCCTAATAGCTCAGGCCGGAGAATGTTAGGTTTTGGCCAGTTGGCATAGTTACTACACATGTACAGAATACATGTAGAAAAGCACAAACCTATACATATACATACATACTTATGTGCACAATCTGAGGCATCCTTGCTGTGTTGTGCAACACCTGGTGAGTTAGGAAGGCTATCGTTTCCTCTCGGAGTGCACATGGCATCCCTCACCTGCGCACCCTGAATCTTGAACCTCTCCATACCTCTCCTACGGCACACGAAACCCCATAAACCCTAATTGTCCTCGTATAGCCCCATGCGGAATAAACCCACAACTCAAGCCAATTCAACCTAAGCCCTAGAAGCCCTCAATCCTCCAACACGAGAATCCCCAGTTTGCCCCGTTAACAATTTAGTACGGTATGCCCTGGCGGCAGTATGGGTACGAAAAATGAAGGTGCTCCGTTATTCAGTGTAAATACAGCAACGCTAGGGCGGCTCACGGTGCATGGTATTCTGCAATCTACTTTATTGTAATCCGTCTTAGCTGGTGTGCAGGCCCAGAATAGGTCCTGCTGAGCTTGCGGAGGGCACGGGATTTGGGGGGGGCAGGGGGGCAGGTAATTAAGGGGGCAGATGGGTGGGGAGGCAAGGGGGGGGGGCACGGAAGGGGTGTGGGCAGGAGGTAGTGCCGTGCCAGTATGCTACAATATCTGTGTTAGTCGGTGTCCAGGCCAAAGGGCCCCAGCTAGTGGGGAACCTAGAACATATCAAGCCCAACACGAAAGGCAGCCTCGAACCTAGCCAATACGCTCTGAATTCGACAAAACACAAAAAAATCTCGTTGACTCGTGGTGCTTTACGAGCCCTAATTCGAAAAAAACCCAAGACACCTCGAAGCCATGAGAGACCCCCGGAGACCCCAACCAAAAGCTCTAAACCCCCAAGAGCCTAAACCCTAATCCCTGAACCCTCACCTCTAAACCGCAAACCCCGATACCGTAATCCCGTACACTCTGAACTTTAAACCACCAAACCCCAAGCCCGAGAAGCTCGTTTTAACCCCCCAAAACCCCAAACCTTGAACCTTTCAGCACTCCGATGAGCTACTAGTCAGGGTGGTAAATTAGGCATCCCTTCTTTCCGGAAACCCACCCAATAAGCGTCTTGAAGGGCAAGGACGAGACCCAGACCCTAAGCCTTGAATATAATTAGGTCCCTTAGTAATATTCCAATTTTTTCCCTCCTACCTAGCAAGGACGATGCCCGCATTGCAGGGTGTCTCGGTTGAACAGTTGACTACAGCTCATGCTCTGGTATTCAAAACACGGCTAATTGGCACTGTAAAGAACTCAATGACCAGAAAGCTCAACTCATCCCGTCATCGAGCATAGAACTCCGCTGGACTCATCTACTTAGCAGAGAGTGGTGCAGTCCAACATCTTGTGCCAGACTGCAACGGCATGCACTTCAGCTCTCAGCTTGCAGTTTGGCAAAATGCCATATGTTTAATTTGCTTCCCTCATTGCATGTGTCCACTTCCAGCCTCACTCCAAGACAGGCGAGGTTGCTTCATTCAGTAGAAGTTGCGTCGTCGCGACACCATCTTGCACCATGCAGATATTCGCATGCATCCACGTCCAGGCTATGGTATACGGCAGGCGCTAAGTCCTCGAATACAGCCACATCCAGGTGGTGTCTATGGCCATATGCGTAGACAGAGCAGCCTTGTCTTTGTGTGATCTGATGTTGCATCAGCCGTACGGTCAGAACCTCCCTTAGCGTAGCAGTACATTCGGTGAGTAGTCCTCACCGCTCACAGAGCCCAGATTAGAGCTAGTGCAGCACCACTTTGCACACAGCGCTTGAAAAAGGGCTAGGTAGCAGTATGCCGAAAGACACGAGGCTCATCAAAAAGCATACAACAAAGGCAGGTAGTGCACACAGTCTCCAGTCATCTCATGGCTAGCAGCAGAGTGCCGAAACTTTGCATCGTCTCGGATATGGTAGCCATACCAAAATCAGTCCGCTGTCCAGGGTGGCTTGCAGTTAGCGAGTGGCTGAAAGAAACGCTCGAAGATAGCAGGCGGCAGGAAAGCAGGCATCGGTAGGTGTTATCGGATGCAAGCCAAGGCAGCTCCGTCGAAACCATGGCGCACTTGTGTTCTTCACCAAAGGTAAGTTGAAAGTTGAAAGGATTATACACTAAAACCCAGATGAAATCCCCGAATCAAAACAGAACCATGGTCCATGGAATGCATAGTCCATAGGGCCCTGAAGCAGAGCAGACGGAGTGTGCAGTGATAGGTGACGACGGTGGAGGTGAAGTGCAGCAGGTGTTCCAGTCGGGCGCATGGGCAGTGGGCGGACGGTCTTTTTGTATATGTTTTTTGTGGGTTTCCACGGAGTGAGGTGACCACGACGCAACGCGACTACTAGAACACAGGTTCAAGGCTTTTTGGTTGTTGGGGTTGGTATGATGTTTCTCTTTTCGCTCTCTTATGCTCTCTTTGTGGCATTACCGGGCAACTCAAATTACATGCACGCAGTCCGAATTACAAATTAAACCGAAAATCCGAGATCCTCCATTCAATCCGAATTGCAGCAAGCAAGTCCAAATTCCAAATTCCAAAGTGCAAAAGGTCCGAAGGAAAGGCAAAAGAAAAGCCCTGAAGAACAAAGCCAAAGAAAGGACAATCCAGAGCCCTCCGAAGACCAAATTAACCTTACCAAAAGAAGCCCCATCAGTCGTCCTTTTGAGTGGACGTCCAAGATCGAGAGCGAGAGGAATTGGAGGACGGGGGCGTTTTAGGTGGTTCAGGAAGTTGAATGTGGGGATTTGCGAGATTCATCGTTCTGTCATCCTGAGAGTCTTGAGTATCCGAACTTGAGCTGACTGTGAAAGTAGCCCCATGCCCCAACATGTCCATTACTCGACGTTGTTGTTGTCCTACAAGGAAGGCGTCCTCAAGACAGTGTTGTTGGGTGCTTGTAGGGGCCAGGGCGCGGGGAATACGAGGGAATCCATACTCTTCAATGAGATGTCGACAGGTGTGGGGATGTAGGGTAAGAGTGGTCCACGCAACAAGAACAATTCTTCGGGCCCCAGTCCACTCTTGTGTGCCGTGTAGTTGGGTTTTACCATTGAAGGTGCAAGGCGAGCTACAGCAATCCAACACCTTACCTGCAACCTTCATGCCATTCACAGTCAAATGAACATCGCCCGCGGCATTCGCAACCCACAAACCTCCTCCGGATATGTCGTCAGTAAGAACCTGAATAAACTGATCCTCAGGGCCATCGTTGAGTCGGAGTGATACAACATTAAAGGGAAGGTTCGGGTGGGTTGAGTGTATGAAGGAGGCTAGGAGCTTGACTGTGTGTGGAAGGTCCAGGGATGCAACACACAATGTGTCAGGTTTCCGAGGGTTGGCACCTAGAATCAGGACTCTGGCTTCTGGGTTAGACTTATCACGTTGCTTCATGTTGTCGGGGATGGTATCCCAAATGTCGAGCAGTGCTTGCTTGTTGATGGGTTGACCTCTGTTGGCCTTACAAAGTTCAGCATAGGCAATGGTTTCCGGCAGAGCTACTGCTAGAGGTACTTTGAGTTGACGCGAAAGTACCTGAAGTTGCTCTCGCCCCAATCCAAAGTCCTGTCGCTCGAGTTGGCAACGAGCGGGGGAGCTTTCGTGTGTCCCGCTCTCAAGTTTGCGCTTCATTTCAAGCAGCTACTACCACTGGTTCCCTCTTTGAGCTGAAGCTGCGTAAACCAGTTCAGATCTCGAAATCACAGCCACATCCAAGGCCAGAACCAGGGGAGCGCTCAGATGCATCGCATTTTCCGTGTCGGGCACACAGTGTTGGGCAGTGCTGCGAGTTCGCGAACATGAGACAGCAGAGACGGCTCATTAGAGGTGTCAATTATGAGCCAGTTAATTAAGAATTACAGAATGCAAAGGAATTACAAATTAAGTGCAAAATTGCAAGATTACAAATTTAATGCAAAGACGCAGTGCGTTGAATGCAGAAATTAGGCAAGCAAGCAGCGGCAATTGGCAGGGATGCAGGCATCAAATTATGGGCATGCAAAATTAGGTTGATCCTTCGGGACCATACAGGTCCGAGCTAGGTCAACAGCGACACGACTGGACATGCTGTCAGAAAAGTTCGCAGCGGTATGATACAAGTACAGTTATGTTACATTGGATGCCACTCAGCCATCAGAAGTTGCCACGAGCCATCAGAGTGCGCAGCAGGTCACTAGTGGAGACAGCGCGAAGCGGGTCTCCCATCATGTAGATCGGGGCTTGTCCTGCAGTGAGCGGCTGCAGGTGCTCCGAGAGGCGCAGCGGCTGTGAGCCACAGCCCGTTGGTGGAGGCTGCTGGTGCGGTTGAGGCATCGGTGGTGGCTCCGTCGTCGTCGGCTGTGGAGGTGGCGTTGCAGGCTGAGAACTGGAGGGCTGATCACTCGGAGGATTGCGCTTCATGATTTTCGGAGTCCGATCCAGGATCTGCATGACGATGTCTTGCATCTCTCCGAGGCTATCTTGAAGACCCCCCACGAGTGCTTCGAGCTTATAGGCCCTGGTGTCTGTGTTGCCGGCGATCTCCTGGAGTGCCAGCATGTCCTCTGCTGCTTTGCTAGCTGCCTGGTTGGCTTTCACCAAATAGTCGAGAACATTGGTGATGTTGTCCTGCAGGGTCTTGCTGGAGGGCACCAAGACATTGAGTCCTCTGAAGGCGCTTTGGGTAGCGCCTTGCAAGGACTGGACGTCTTTTTGGATGCTGTCTAGCTTCTGTTCACTCCTCGTCTTCGCCACATGCAGGTCCACGTTCGTCTGTTTCAAGGTACTCCGAAGTTCTTCCGTTGTTTGCTTGACTTCTGTCAACTTCTCGGATTGAGCGCGTTGTTCTCCTTGAAGGTAGTGCAGAGATTCTCTGCCCTGCTTGGGGAGGCCATCACTGAGCGTCTCCTGGAGCACGAAGGACTTGGCAGTATCCAAGGCATTTGCACTGACTGCCTTTTCCAGGCGAGGAATGGCAGAGACAAAGCCATAGATCTCCTTGATGCGAGGTGGAACTTCCTTAGTCCATTGCTCCATCAGCTGTCCTGTACTCTCAGCAACTCCAGCGATCTGTTGCATGGTAGTTTCCATTGTTTCCAGAGTACGGCTCTTCTGGAGGTCCAGGACAAAGGACTGGAGTTCCTGGTTGTCTTTGCAGAGTTGCAGCATCTTGGCATCCAAGCACTGTAAGGCTGAGACCACCTCAGAGTCCGTGCCGGGAACTATCGAGGGCATGCCTGACACGTGGGCCTGCAGGTCCACCAAGGCTTGCATGATGCCTGTAAGGGCACGTGAGTGGGCCAGATTCTGTCGGCACTGGCTAAACGTGAGCAGTGCAAGCCACAATAGGGCAAGAAATCCTGCCATCACAAGCCACTGTTGACCCTGCACAAAGAAGGTTCCAAGGGAAATTGCGTCTCCGAGCTGTTCGAGGTTCATACCTGTGGAAACATCTGCGATCGGCGAGGGAGCATCCATGTTGATGGTAGAGTCAGGGATGCGTGTAATTCTGCTCTACGGGTTCGGGCAGCTGGGACAGCGCACAGAAGTTGAATTAAAAGTCCGTCCTGCCCCCCCCCTATCTTATGTTTGCGCAGGTGGATGAACAAAAGCCAAAGTCAAGGTCCTAGCCAAGCATGGAAGTTAGGCATGTTCTGGTGTGGGAGTGTCAGAAAAACTCGGCTGAAATTAGCGGTGCGATAGAGTGTGCGATAGTGCGAGAAATGGAGAGAAGCCTTAGCTGCTTTATCGGTGAGAGTATTCAAAGGATGTCCTGCATGCCCGCGTACATGTTGAATAGAGACGCGCGAAGAGATGTTGCTCCAGAGGCACAGTAATTCGCATACATCATTGGGATACGACGAGCAATGGACTTGTGCCTGTATGATTTGAAGAACTAAGGCTGAGTCAGTCATGTAAACGATCGGTATTTAAAGAGAAACGGAATTGCGTTGCGAATCATTTTAAAAGCAAGAATCGCCGCACGATTTTCAGCTCGTGTACAAGTGCAACGATCTTCAACAAGAGCCTGTGCGATAACAGCGTCTTCGATAGGAGCGTAGGGAGCAAGGAATGATACAGCAGTGCCACCCTTGTAGTTCTTACCTGGTTCTTACTGCTACCATCTGAGCAAACTTGAACAGAGGCTTCATTGTCAAAGACAGCAACGTCAGGAACAAACTGAAAAGATGTGTCGTACGCGTCTTGAACTGGTACATGGCGAAAAGGAAGGAGTGTGAATTTCTCGCCCACTTGTAGGAGGCTCCTACCCAAAAGGTCCACAGACTTAAGGTCGGGATAGTATTGGAGAGGTTGGAGGTGTTTGAAATCAAGCCATGTTTGGGTAAAACGTTTCCAAAGATGTTTGTCTAGAGCTGCATTTTCCCAGAAAGGTGGAGTGCCGAGGCCCCTAAGTTCTTCCCATGCAAGTTGAATTAACCGATACGAATTAGGCCAGAAGCCAAGTGAGCGTCTGTGTGTTTTCCAATTTTGATGCAACCAAAAGGTGTCCCTAATTCGCAGAACAACGGAAATAGGTGCGTATCGGTATGTTTGAATTCGAGCTGCGTGTCCCCAATAGGACATAAAAGAGGTCGCGTGTGCCCCCGCCCAGGATTGGTGAGAAAGCGCCTGTGCGCACATCCTACTGGCACGACGTCGACAGATCCAGTTGGAAGACGAAGTAACAAAGGGATCCGCAGTAAGGGCACAAAGTGAAGTGAGTAGAGTGTTATGCATGACAGACAGCATATTACTAACAGCTGTAACTGGACGGATACAGGGGCTGATCCACCGCCACTTAGAAGTGACATATGTGTTGAGAAGGTGTAATCTTTTGCATCTTTTGCGAAGGCATGAGCCGGGGCGGCGGAGAATTTTATAGTATCCCCAGAAGGCATTGTTGGTCATGGTGAGTCTGGCAGCGAGAATGGTTTGAGAGTTAAGATCGAAACCCATGAGAACGCCAAGAAACTTGAAAGACCGAACCGGAAGAATGTTGATGTGACGAACTCGGAGAGGGCGTGAAGGGAGATCCGGGGAAACAATAAATTTACATTTGTCAAGTGCAAGGGAGAGACCTATTGATGCAAGAATGTCAATAACTCCTTCAAGGAGGCGACGAGCCTGCTCATAGGACGTGGCAAGAAGAATTATGTCGTCTGCGTAGAGCAAATTAAAAAGTTTGCGCGTAGTGCCAGAGTCGTCTTTGGATTGTATCCAAGTGTTCTCCGAAATGCTCCACCTGGTATGAAGAAAACCGAGATAGTAGTCTAAAGTACGACCAAAAATTTCAGCGCTGTAACTTGAACCCTGAAGTAATCCCCGCAATAGTTTTTGACGCCAGGAGACACCTGAGATGCCCAAAGAGACTTGAGAGGAAATGATTATGCGGAGTAAAATAAGGGCCTCAAGGCTAGCCCCGCCGAGGGCCAGAAAACTCGCAATGGAATCGTGGGAGAGATGGTCAAACGCCGAGGAAACATCAAGTTTAATTGCAATGAGTGGGAGCCGATATTCTTGTGAAAGATGAATAAGATGTTGGAGGCAAGCTGAGCCATCAAGAGTTTGGGACCCCGGAATACAGGCAATTTGGTTACCAGAAACAGGGGGAAAAGACGGGCGCAAGCGGAAAAGGAGGATTTTGGTAAAAAATTTGACAGGTGTAGAAGATAAAACAATTGGGCGAAGATCCTTGGGAGATGAAGGATTTTTTGTTTTTGGAAGAAAAGTGAGTTTGGAAACCAGCCAGGTTTTAGGAATTTCGGTGACCTGGAATAGTACGGCATTGAAAAGATCGACAAGATGATCCGCAAGTTGAGAATGCATAACGATAGTGAGGAACTCATATGAAATACCATCATCTCCACATGATTTACCTGTTTTAGTGGTGGCGAGAACATCAAGTATTTCACTGGCTGTGATAAGGGGAGGCTTCGGGAAGGAAGAGACTCGCTGAAGATAAAGGGAAAGTGCAGAGATATTAGCAATAACTGGATCGGATGGAGTATACTTGAGACGATAGAAATGTTTAAGATCTGTCGTGGCTTTTGTGACTCCACCTGCGCGTGCAATGTAATTATTGTGCATAGTGAGTGTGTTCTGTCTTCTCTTAAAGTAGGCGATAGCCCCGAAATCACCCTGTGACCCACGGTCGAGTAGGCTGGTAAGCCAAGCCTGTTTGGCAGCGGCCCGAAGTCTGAGTATATCCTTTCCTAGATTTCTAGCCTCCTGACCTGAAAGTCGTCGTCTCTGTTGAATTAGGGAGAGTATGTGGTCAGGATCTCTGTACCTATGGCTTTTAGGTCGAAAAGAGACTGAATGTGCGATGCTTTCAAGGTCCGAAATCTTGAAATCTAGGTTGTCCAACTCTAAGCGTTCGGCCAAATTATTACAGACTGGCAGGGCTTTTGCACCGTCTACCCTCCATTGGCCGCATCGGGTACGTTGACGATGCGTTCGTTTGGCTCGAGAGTTATTGGGGCCTACCTGCTTAAAGGCAACCGAAACAGCACGATGATCAGAACCAAGGAGGAAGTCGGAATCAATATGTACTCGGTCTTGCAGAAGATCATTAGTGGGAGTGGAAACTAAGATAAAGTCAATTTTGGCTTAACTCTTAAACCCCAAACTTGGTACCCAGGGCCTGGGTTACTGAGGAACCGGCCACCCCTTGGACATCGCCATACGGGTGCACCTGGAAGCTAGTCGCTGTCGGTCTCCAACACGGCGAAGCGCGAGCCGGGTGCGCTATAGTTGCGCCACTGCTGCCTGTGCGTGGCATGCCTTGCAGCGGCGCTTTGCGCACGAAGCGGCGGGCGGTTCTTCCGGGCGAGGTTGCCGCGGTGGACAGCCTGCGCCTTGGCCGCCTCCCTTTCCTGCTGTCGGTCGTGCCCCTCCTTCCGTGCGAGGTTGCCGCGATGTACCGCCTGGATCTTGACGGCCGCATCCGCCCGCTGCTTGTCCTGATCGGCCTGCATCTTGGCCGCCTCTTTTTCCTGTAGCAGGTCGTGCCCCTCCTTCCGCGCCATGTTGCCACGATGCACAGCCTGGATCTTGGTCGCAGCCTGGTCTTGCTGCCGATCGTGATCCGCCTGGTTCTTGGCAGCGGCTTCCTCCTCTTGCGTGTCACGAAGATCCTTGCGGTTGCCGCGATGAACGGCCTGAATCTTGGTGGCCGCCTCCTTCTCCTGCCGTCTGTCGCTAGCCTCCTTAGCCAAAAGCCATGGAGGAGGCGGCGGAGGGTGTGCTGGCGGTGGTGGGCGCGCCAGCTGCGGAAGCACCCGCGCGAGAAAGCGCTTCACTGTCATCTCGGAATGCATCATGTCCATCGCCTCTCTCTCGGACAGGCGCGCTGAGCTGCGGGATCTCGACTTTGCCGCAGGGTGTTGCTGCTCAGCAGCAACTAAATCTATGGATTCTCGCGGCTTCAACCAACAAACTTGAGCCAAAATGGCTACTAGTAATATTCCACTGGGGTTTCGGGATTTATAAGCATTGCTGTATGCTATAATCATAATCAGGAACCCGCCAAAGTAGTATCGGCATATTTTTCTAGAGCTATAATCATAATATAGAGCCCCCACAAGACCTGTGCGCGGAGGAACTGGAGCGTTCCGTCGGCTTGGAGCGCAGGGACCAGGGGTTCGGCCTGAGGGGGTTTGAGGCTTAGGGTTTAGGGTTTGGTTGTAGGGTTTTTTTGGACTGTTTGCAGTTTCAGGGTGGTTTCGGATTGTTGTTGAGGTTCTTTTTTTGACTTTTGAAGAACTTCGTGCTTTGTGTTTTCTTTTGGTTTTTTAGTTGTTATGGCTTTGGGGGTCTTTGCCTCAAGGTTTATGGAACTCGGGTGTTTCCGGTTTAGGGTTTTTTAGGTTTTGGGGTTTAAGGTTCCTTGGCGATTTTGTGGAATTAGCGTTGGAGGCCACGGCCACGGCGTGCCAGGTAAACTTTAACCGGGCCCTTGTATTTCGGCCATAGCCGAGGGTAGCTAGGGGGTCCCTGCACACCGGTAGGGGGAGGGGCTTTAGGATGCCAGGCTTGACGTGATTAAGGAAGCTTATGCTATACTCCCCTTAGATCCATAATAAGAATAATAGGTGCAATATTCTCTTGGGTTTTATCTTAGAACAAAAATTAAAAAATATTCCTAAGGGGACTATAGTATGCCTTAGGGCTTTGAGAAGGCTTTGGAATCTTTCAAGGTCTAGTTTGAAGTGTTCTTTTTCGGGAGCCCTCGTTCGGGTGGATGTAAGGTTATGGCGCAATAAGGATTACCGATGTGGGTGCGGGGGCGGTTGGGTTCAGGGGGTCTTGACATTCGCATGCGGAGTTGTCAGTCAAATTCAGATGAATCTTTCTCAAACCACGGCGTTCTCAGTTTTATCTCACAACCGCAAAACAGGGGGTTGGAGACTTTCGCCTTTTCCAGTGGTCGGCAACTGCTGGAGCATCTTCGGCTGCGAAGCCTTGCACCCCCCCAC